CTTCTATCGACGGTCTAGAGTGACAGTGTCTTTCTTTATTGCCAGTAGGTGTTTGTCCGTATGTTTTGTTCTAACCGGGGACTTGGTCAAAAAGCTTCACCTAGAAAACTCCCATTTCACTTGTATACTAAAGATCTAGTGATTTTTAGCTCACCTGAGCCAAAGGCTCAAGTGAGCTTTTCTGATCAAAATTTGTCCGTTGTCTGTCGTCGTTGTGGTCGTTGTTGTTGTAAACTTTTTACATTTTCATCTTCTTCTCAGGAACCACAGGGCCAATTTCAACCAAACTTGCCACAAAGTATCCTTGGGTAAAAGGGATTCAAGTTTGTTCAAATGAAGGGCCACGCCTTCTTCCAAGGGGAGATAATTAAGAATTTGTGAAAAATTAATTGCATCATTAAAAAATCTTCTTCTCAAGAACCACTGTGCTTGAAAATATGAAACTTACGTGGAAGCATCCTCAGGTAGTGTAGATTCAAATTTGTTCAAATCATGACCCCTGGGGGTCGGGTGGGGCCACAATGGGCGATCAAAGTTTTACATAGGAATATATAGGAAAAATCTTTAAAAATCTTCTTCTCAAGAACCACTGTGCTTGAAAATATGAAACTTATGTGGAAGCATCCTCAGGTAGTGTAGATTCAAATTTGTTCAAATCATGACCCCTGGGGGTCGGGTGGGGCCACAATGGGTGATCAAAGTTTTACATAGGAATATATAGGAAAAATCTTTAAAAATCTTCTTCTCAAGAACAGGAAAGCCATGATTGGTCATATTTATATGGTAGCATCCTCAGATAGTGTAGATTCAAGTTTGTTCAAATCGTGACCCCCGGGGGTCGGGTGGGGCCACAATGGGTGATCAAAGTTTTACATAGGAATATATAGGAAAAATCTTTAAAAATCTTCTTCTCATGAACAGCAAAGCCATGATTGGTCATATTTACATGGAAGCATCCTCAGATAGTGTAGATTCAAATTTGTTCAAATCATGACCCCCGGGGGTCGGGTGGGGCCACAATGGGCGGTCAAAGTTTTACATAGGAATATATAGGAAAAATCTTTTTAAAAAACCTATTTCTTAAGAACTGCAAAGCCATGATATGCATATTCATATTCATATGGAAGCATTCTTAGATAGTGTACATTCAAGTTTGTTCAAACATGACCCCTGGGGGTCGGGTGGGGCCACAATGGGTGATCAAAGTTTTACATAGGAATACATAGGTTAAATCATTAAAAATCTTCTACTCAAGAACAGCAAAGCCATGATTGGTCATATTTAAATGGAAGCATCCTCAGATAATGTAGATTCAAATTTGTTCAATTCATGACACCCCCCCCCCCCCCCCCCCACTTTTATATTTAAACTTTTCAACCTTTCAAGACTGAACTGATTTCTGCTTTTTTCTAGCCATAGTGCTCAGGTGAGCGATGTGGCCCCTGGGCCTCTTGTTTTTTTCTTCTGTAGTCATTTAAAGTTTCTTAAGGCATCAGTACTACATCCAAATGAAACTGAACTGCTCATGGGTGCACCGTAATAGATAAAGGATTAAAAATGGAATAATTTTTACCCGAACCTTATGTATTTAATACTTTTATTTCGAAATAATATTCATGTATTCGCAAATGAAACCCTGTTTTTTTCATATCTGGCACCGTAGGACTGTACCCTGTGTACATTCAAGCATAATAAATGCTTTATTTGTGTCTATATTTTATCCAAAAAAATAAGATGCACTTAAATATGATAAATAAACAATTGCTGAAAATCTTTAAGTTTTTATTTCTATATATTATTTCAATATAAACTTCTATCAAGGCCCCGCCCTACCCCTAGAAGCCATGATTCGAACAATTAAAAATCTACACTACCTCAGAAAGCTTTTGTATAAGATTCATAATTTCTGGTCCAGTGGATATTGAGAAGATTTTGAAAGAATTCGTTCTATGTACCGATATTTGAATGTAAAAATTTGATCTCTTGTGGCCCCACCCTACACTGGGCCATGATGTGTATATTTTAGAACTAAAATTACCTCAGGTCAAACTTGCACTTTTATAATCCAGTGGTTCTTAAGAAGATTTTTAAAGAATTTTTCCAACATATTTCATTGTTAAACTATGATCCCCTATTGTGGCCCCACCCAACCCCTGGGGGCCAGGATTTGAACAATTTAAATCTACTCTTCAGAAAGCTGTTACATACATTTCATCTCTTCTGTCCTCGTGGTATTTGAGGAAAATGATTTTTGAAGAATTGTTCATATATATTTCAATGTAAAACTTTGATTCCCTATTGTGGCCCCACTCAATCCCCAGGGGCCATGATTTGAACACATAAGAATCTACACTAATCTCATGAAGCTTTCACACAAGTTTCATCTCTAAATGACTTCTGGCCTAGTGGTTCTGAGAAGAAGATTTTTAGATCACCTGAGTGGTGACCTAGCTATTCCTATCCGTTTTCATCTGTCGTCCAGAGTCACTCAGGTGACCCATTACAGTACTATCTGTTTTCATCTGTCGTCGTGTGTTAACATTTGAACATTTTGAGCTTCTTCTCTGAAACTGCTGAACCAATTTCAGCCAATTTTAGCATATGGCATATATGGGTGAAGTGGAACAAAATTTGTGAATTTTATGGTCCCTGCCCCCCCCCCCCTTTTCTCCCTCTTTATTTAAAGAAGTAAACTAGATGCATGGTTTTGGTGATCAAGGGAGCCTCTTACAATATTGTGAAATTTGTGGCCCCAGGGTGAGGGGTTCTGTGGGATGGGGGAGGGGGACTCTCTTGATTATATAGTGAAAGTGCATTTTTTCTTAAAAATCATCTTCTCTGCTTCAAGGTATGAAGCAGATAAACCAAGTATATAGAATATATAGTTATGATGCCCCGGTCAGGAGTTCTGGTTTTATGGGGCTCTATTTATCATATAGTGAAAATGCACAGATTCTTTAAAAATCTTCTCTCCCCTTTATATATATAAAGAAGATAAACTAGGTGCAAGGTTATGATGATCAGGATACCTCTTCCATAATTGTGAAATTTGTGGCCCCAGGGTGAAGGGTTCTGTGGGAAAGGGGGGAGGATTATATACAGGGGCTGATAAAAAGATTTTTCAAGTACTTGCCCATGGGCGAGTACATGGTCAAAATTCACTTGCCCTACCTGAATTTTTACTTGCCCCACCATAAACTGTGAAAATAGGAAGACAAAAATGATTATTACAAGTGCCCATTTCCACTTAAACCTAAGACTTATTATTTTTTCTGATTCTCATCCCCGCCCGCCCCTCTCAAAGTGCCCCGCCCCGTTGTTTTTTATTTTGCTTTTGGGGTGCCAAACGTATTATTTTCATGTATTTTTATTCAGCAAGAATCTGGGTCAAAATTTAAGAGTTATCTCCCGTCTGTATTAAAAGTCGCGTGGCACTATTTATAGCAAAAAAAACTATGTGAAGAATGGAGAAAAATCGGTGATAAAAGCAGTTTAAATATGTAAGGAAAAAATAATTTGTCAGTATAGAGACGGCAGAAAAGCAAAAATAACATATAAACACATCTAGATACTATCACTGGCATGGGAAAGTTTTTAAAGAGATTTTAACCAAGTAAAACAGATGAAGAAAATACACACGGTCAAGTTTTAAATAACGATCTCCAGCTGTATGTGATTTTGCATTAAAAAAATAAAACATCATTCAAAGACTTCAGAGAATAATAGTGCTAAGGAAATGTTAAATCTTAAAACTGTTCAGGCCTAGGCTTTTCAGTAGAATATTTTACAGATTTACACAATCCTGTTTTGCAAATATAATATATTTTAATGTTGAACATGTCAAGTCTCAAGAACGATTGAATGTATGAGGACAGTGGAAATCTGTGATAAATCACACAGAACAGAAGGAGTTGTTGGTAAAACTATAGGTATTTGGGGAATTAGGCCGATGAGAAAACATGCATATGCAATTTATTAGGATCAGCACCTCATTTTGTTTGGCGTGTGCCGTATCTGTGTACTTGATAATTTGTTAATAAAACTATAAATATTTTAATTTTCTATAACAAGAATCTTCTGTAGATATTTAAAAGAATATGAAAACAATGAAATCTATTCATATTGGCATTAACATAATGTAAAAATTACGAATGTTTTGTTGATACTTTCATTTATATAAAATAAAAAATAAAATCCGCCCACCCGCCCCAATTTTTTAGCAAATTAGGATGAGAATCTAAATTTTATATTCATGTGGCCTTAACTTATAAATAAATAGGGATATAAAAAACAATTCAAATCGGGGAAAATATTCAGTCTTTATTGCATCTGGTATTATTTCGCCAAGTATATTAAGTATTCGCTGGTAGGAATTGCTGAAAACAATGCACAATATTACTTTACCGTCTTCTATCACAATCGAAAACCTCGTTTTTGGAACATTTTAGTGCAGCACGAACCCGATCGTGAACCCGATTACCTAGGTTTAAAAAAAGAGGAATGCTTAAAACTGATTTACTCTAGCACCTGTTGGTCAAACGTGACAGAATTCAAACTTGATCTATAGTTTGTCACTATAAAGCTACCTAGTAAGTTTGAAATCAATAATTTTAAACCTGACAACCTCGTTTTGTAACATTAATATAGTGCAGCACGAACCCGATCTTAAACTATTATAAAAAAGAGGAATGTTTAAAACTGATTTACTCTGGAACCTTTTTGTTAAATGCGATAAAATTCAAACTTGATCTGTAGTTTTTCACTATAAAGGTACATTGCAAGTTTCAAATCAATTCTCAAAAGCATGAAGAAAAAAAGTGCGGAAAACCAAGTGGGACAGACTGACAGACAGACAGACTCGGAGGAAACCTATAGTCCCCTCTGGTTTCACCAGTAGGGGACTAATAAGAACAGCAAGAACAGGACTACTTGATGAGGGTTGTGGTCCATAGGACATACTTTGTTAGTGTGTGTGTAACAGTATTTTATTTAATCTTCAGGTTTCAACAAATCTCTGCCAGATGAGCTGATGAGCTGGACTCAGGTAGACTCCCCAATCCTTGAAGACTTACTCATGAATGACACCATTGACTCAGGAGTCTTTGTTCAGAACTATGATGAAACAAGGTCATCAAGTAGGTTCAGCAATGGATTCTCCTTCAATTCAACCTCAACATATCAAGGCAATGATTTTATTGACACATATCAATTTCCACCAACCACATGGAGCAGTGGAGAAATCAGTGGTAATGACAACAATGCCAACACCAACTGTCGATATGTTGACAACCCATTTGCCTTTGGGATGCCATGGGAGAAGTCTCAAGCTACACCACCTGAAAACACAAGATCTGCATTTTCTTCAACTTCTTCATCTGCCTCCTCATTATCATCTCAAATCAACTCAGGATTTCAGGACCTTGCCATATCTTCAGCAGCTCCCTCATCATCTCCCATTGACTCAGGATTTCAGGACTTTTCTGCATCATCCTATCCTCCAGTGTTCCAGGGGATGGAAGATTTACCTGATTCTGCCCCAGTGTGGACACCCTCTGAATCAGAGAGCCAGCCACCAATAGAATTCGTAAACTTCATGAAAGCTTATCACACCTGGATGAGGTACAAACAGAGGAATTCTCCCAATGTTCCATGTATTCCAGCAATTCCAACACCACTCCACAGCCAGGAGGACAGGGGTTGTGCCCTTTGTAAGAAGAACCGCAAGCCTCAGTCCTTCTACTCCACTCATGTTTTGAAGGATAACAATGGAGTAGTTATTTGTCCAGTTCTGAGGGAATTTACCTGTCCAAAATGTGGAGCAACTGGAGACCGCGCCCATACCCTTCGTCATTGTCCCATTGCCAGAAAGGAAAACCACATCTAGGTTCAACTCATGGAGAGTTCTACTTCTTAAAGCAAGTGATCAAGCAATGAGAGAGTGACTAGATGAGTACAGATCTAAGTGAAGATTTTCCATTACTAAAAGTAATACATATGTATCCATGGTGGTTCAGTGTAATTTCATTCAACAGATGACATAAGAGACATGACCTCCATCTTAATAGGTTTTTATTAAATATTTTTTTCAATTTGCAGTACATTTCATGATTCTTTATATTTCTATTTACCCATTAAACATATTATGCTTATAATATTTGATTTTCTATGATACAGAATATAATGATATGTGCAATGTCAATTGATAAGTGTGTAAAAGATGTCAATTATTTAGTGTATTAAAAAAATCAAGAAATTTTTATCATATGATGAAACATGCTTGATATTTGTATAAATGTATAATAGTTAATGTAGTGTAAACACTGTAATATAACAATAACTGTTTTCTCCAGTATGTAATTACATGACAACTACAATATACTGAGAAATGTCTAAATCTTGAGAACTTTGCTCAATATCATTATTTCATATTGATATTTCACTTGTAAAACAAACATGGGAGACTTTCAGTTACTTGGACGGTTTTTATACAATATGTGCCTTTTTTGTAATTATTTATTTTTATGAAAATTAATAGTAGCTCCAAATAGATTAGAATATTGTGATTTTCTTCAATTGTTATAAAACTAATAAATTTTATAGAATAAAGCAAAAAAAATCTTTCTAGTTTTACTTACCAGCCTAATTTGGCAAATGAATTGTTGACAAAGTAATCCCCAATGTAGTCTAAATCATGAAACCTTTTCTTGTCATAAGGCAATTCATTCACCAATTTGAGTTTACGCTACCAAAGAAAAAAAAATTTTCCAATGTCTTGCTAGCTTGTCATTATTGTCATCTTAGTGTACTATTGTAAGTTGTTCATAATGAGACTTGTTTCAACCTTTGATACAGGGGTCAAGTATGTTCAAATGAAAACTAATCCATTTAAAAATGTGAGATTATTGATTATGAATTCATTCCAAAATATCAAATTTGGAAAAATATTTTGAGTTATAGCCCTTAAAGTCTACATTTGCAGTTCATTCAAATATTTGTGTAAGTTGATTCCCTCTCAACTGGGTGTTGTTTTCAAATGATGAGAAACACTTATCAATGAGTTATTTATGACCCACAATTTTCATATGTAATTTGACAAAAAAATACCTTTACTTTAACCATGATACTTGGGATTCATTAATTATATAAAGATAAATGTTAGACAGTTTATTGGGAACCTATATTTACATGCAGTTTAGATACAAATTTTGCTTTTCACATATGTTTCTTCTATGGTCAAGGTAGGGTCATAGAAAGGAGACAAAATATAATGAGAATATCCAATGAAAAAAGATCTTGCATAATTTGTCTCACTACGACTGGCCGTGTTCATATGCAAGCAAATTTCCATGTGTTTCAGATTATTTCACTGAAGTCAGTTAAAACATACTCTCAAGGCTGGGAGAGATGAGAGATTATTTGGGTAGATACAGGAAAAGCATGTTTATTAAAAATATTCTTGATCACTATAAAGTCACAATTTGGGGTAACAAAAAGTATAATTTGGGAGGAATATTTTGACTACAATTATATTCCTTGATGGCAACACGAACTTGATTTCTGAAATCTGTTTGCCTTTGTCAGCAAGTTAAATTTACTGAACTCTAACTGGGTTTGCATTTATAAAATGGGTCGTTTCATTTTCTTCCCTTATTAGCATACCTCAGCAATCAGCAAAAGGGAAATAAAATTGAACAAGGGAACAGCAAAACGTAGCATCAGAGCACATTGATACCAAAATAAATAATTTAAAATTGCATAACTTCCATTTCACATGTACTCGCTTACACCCCCCCCCCCCCCCCCCCAACAAGTGCATTACTATATCCCCTCCATTGAGAGTGAATAAAAAATTTTCTCAAGAGCAAGCAGGTCCATAGTTTGTCATATAAAAATAAAAACAGATTTGCAGATCAAAGTTTATTAAAAAAAATCATGGCCACTAGGAGTATGGTGGGGCCACAATAAGGAATTCAAAATTTCACATATGAGTAAAAAATCTTTTAAAAAAGTTATTTTTCAAGAACAACAAGGCTTCCTATCTTGGAAACTGTAGGAGGAGTTAACCAGACAAATGGTGTACCTTTTTGGAAGCCACCCACCCCTCGGCCAGCCATTTTCACCATTTCAATAACCAGATATTTCTGATAGAAAATAGCTAAGGGAAAAAAGAAGAGCATGCACAGTTCCTCCTCCCCCCCCCCCCCCCCAGATTTGTAGAATTATTAAATGTATACATGCATTTTGAAGCAAATAAAAAATGCCAATATGGATATAAAGATTTGATAGCTTATTCTTTAATATGTTTATAGAAGATTCTTTTTATATAGAATATTTATCACACTGTAATAATGATTTTATGAGTTTGTACAAGCCAGACATCATAACTTTTTCATTTCACATGCTGAATACTATCATTTAGTAAATCCAACAAAAAAAAATCCAAAAAAAAGGTTTGTCCAGGATTTGAACCCAGCATCTCTCACACGCTAAGCGAGAGTCATACCCCTAGACTACGGAGGCACTTGATCATATAGCAAATTAAATGCAAACATTAGGTCAAATATAATGTTTATATTCACGTTTGATATTGTCAAAATTTTACACAATACATGGTGTCTAATTTAGCCTTTACTAAATAATTCTAATAGATGTAATAAGAATATAAAGTCTGCCGACAACCTGTGTTATACGTAATAACTCTCCACATGCCCCTGTGCTAAAAATAGTGCCAATAATAAAATAATACAAGAAATAATTTAAAAAAAAACGGGGCAGGACACTTTCAGAGGGGCGAGAGAGGCCCTAGGGAGTTATGGAATAAAATTTCATTGCAAACGCTCAAAAGCTTCTTGAGATATCACCCGGAAACGAAAGTGTTACACACAGATGGAATGTATGAGTTTACGACCTTGAATTTTGACCTCAAAATCAATAGGGGTCTTCCTTAGGCCACAGGGAGTTGTTATGTAAAATTTCATTGCGAAAGCTCAAAGGATTCTTGAGATATCGCGCGGAAACGAAAGTGTTAAAACAGACAATTTATGAATTTATGACCTTGACCTTTCGACCTCAAAATCAAAAGGGTTCTTCATTAGGCTATAGGGAGTTGCTGTGCAAAATTTCATTGCAAAAGCTCAAAGGATTCTTGAGATATCGCGCGGAAACGAAAGTGTTAAAACAGACAATTTATGAATTTATGACCTTGACCTTTCGACCTCAAAATCAAAAGGGTTCTTCATTAGGCTATGGGGAGTTGCTGTGCAAAATTTCATTGCAAAAGCTCAAAGGATTCTTGAGATATCGCGCGGAAACGAAAGTGTTAAAACAGACAATTTATGAATTTATGACCTTGACCTTTCGACCTCAAAATCAAAAGGGTTCTTCATTAGGCTATAGGGAGTTGCTGTGCAAAATTTCATTGCGAAAGCTCAAAGGGTTCTCGAGATATCGTGCGGAAACGAAAGTGTTACAGACAGACAGAAATACAGATGGACGGACAGACCGACAGACGGACGGATGGACAGACAGACAGACCCAAATTAATATCTCCCACTTTCAGTGAAAGTGGGGGACACAATCTGGAAAACAGTGAAAATTAGAAATTTTCAAGGTCTAGGGGAAATAACTTTCATTTGAATTGGTCGGTCAACATCAAGCTTGAACTTGATCTGTAAGTCATCAATATAAAGACACATACCAAAAATCAGCTCATCTACAAGTACAGCTAAAGACAGTCACGAAAACTAAGACAGAATGACAATGACTGAAAGATGGAGTGACAGACAGAAAGAGGCAACAATATAAGCCCTGAACATTTCATGACAGGGGCATAATAAATTTAGTTGCTGATTCATTTTTGTTAAATACAAAGTCCTAGCGCGAGGATGTGGTTAGAATTTTACACGGGAATTTTTAAAAAATTGAATCTATCAGGGTGTCCATAAATCATATTGATATGCAAACAAACCCACATCATTGGATTCAAGTTAATTCCAATTATGACACAGGGGTACAGGTGGGACTAGAATTAGGGATCAAATCTTACATCATACTGTATATAGGGGAAAAAACTTTGAAATGTCTTCTCCAGGACACCAAGAGCACATTAGCCATTTTGATATTCTGAATCACCATGTGGTATGGATTAAGTTTGGTTATGTCATGACCCCTTTGAGCTATAATGGAGCCACAATATCAGGTCAAAACCATTCAAAGGAATATAGATGGAGGAAATCTGATAAGAATCTGAAGAAGAACAGGGCCAAGGTGACACAGGTGAGCATTGTGGAAAATGGGCCTCTTGCTCTTTATTTAGTAGATAATTAGCACTCTAATGTATAAAAATTAACATTATTGGCCTCTTACTTCTTGTTTTAAAAAGTCTAAGTACAGAACTACACACATTTTAAAGCTCTATTTTTTTTAATGAGTACAATTTAAGCTGAAATATTTTAAATAATATTGATAAGGTCCCTGAAATTTGTTGAAGATATTTACAATGCTCTAGATAATAACCCATTTTGCCATTGTTTACTCAGTCTTCATTCATCGAATGTATTATATATATTTTTTTACACACAATCTACCCTTTGATTGATCACTAAATTAATTTCGTATTATCAATACTTAATTAATAGCGATTCTCTGTAACCACTTAAACTTCTTTGCCACGCATGGTCACCGATTTTTATGAAACTTTGCCCATTATTACAACTTGACACCAGAAACATATATCAAATAAAATTTCGTTGCTATGTGTCTTGGTTGCCATGGTAACAGCCAGAAAAGTTGAAAAAATTGAGATTTTCAGCTACTTTAATAAAGACTAAGAAAAACAAACAAACCATTCTCCCAAAAACATGACACCTTGTTACCACTTATGCTATAAAGAAACTATTTAGAATTTATCTCTAAGTAAGTGGTAACCATGGGTACATTTGGAATACATTTTAGATGCTGAAAAATGCTGAAAACGCTCTATAGTCACAAATGATAGATGCTACATGATCAAACTCAATCAACAAAGTAAGAAAAACAATGAAAAATATTTGACCTCATGTAATTAGGTATTGGCAATATTATTCTAAAAATAAATTTCATGGTTGCCATGGTAACACAGTGTCACCATGCAAAATCTGTTGCTATGATTGGGTAAATGCTACTATCGTAAGGAAAAACAATAAAATTCACGACTGGCACATATGCATCTTTAGGACCTTGCAACACCGACAACATAAGAAAAATTGAGATTAATTGTTACTTTGCAGTGTAACCATGGAAACAACGTACTAGTTGTTTAAAGTGATATTTTTTGCTGCTTTAGGAATTTACTAACCTTTTAATCAAGAAAAATATTTTTTGAATCACCTTGAATAATAAATATCTCGTAGAACTAAAGTTGAATATCATATATTGATAAAGGTTGTTGAAAAATACAACACTGTTGCTATGGTTACCAAGAAGAGAAAATGTCCGATTTTGTTAATTTTTTGTCAATATTAGACCCTATGTGCCAGCTTTTTGCATCCAGTTAGAGATTGGGTGATAGTCAAAATTGAAAGTCAGGTTAGTTGTTCACATATATCAATCATTAAAGTTTTGGGAATCTACTTACAACGGTACGTATCCAAGGAAACAGAGTATTTTTCAGATTTTTATGCATGTTTTTTCACCTTATTTCCATAGCAACGCACTATTTAAAGAATTGAAATTGAATTTTTTGAAATGTGAAAATTAGGGTCA